ACTTGACCTGATGGTAGCATGGTCCTTTTGGGTTGCCTTCACTAAAGCAACTTGATTGGATGAATAATGGAGAAAGTGGTTATTATGGTTTATTAATATATTATATGAATAATATATTAAAGGAGAAATCATATGTTTAATTAATAGTGGTGAAGAATTAATTTGGAATTATATTTCTGGTCAAAAGAGATTAATTGAATTAAGGGGACTGAAGTTGTAATTATAAGATAATTTCATAGTGGGCTGATAAACCCTTTAAAATGGGTTGGACGACATCTTTTGGGAGCCCATAAGGATTTCATCCAAGGGCCAGGGTTCTGGAAGATTCTTATGGGCTGCTTAGAGCCTAAGCAACCGAATGAGATCTTTGACTCAAACCCTAAGTCCTTACCTATATATAGAACCCTTAGGCATGCAATTTTCAGCACTTGAACACTAGAAGGATTGCTAGCCAAATTTTGAGCCTCATCCCTCTCTCTCTAAGATTCTCCAATTGCTTTGGTGTTTGTGATTCATTAGAGGCATCGTATTTGAGGTGCCAGGTTCTCATAAGCTTAAGATATTCAAGCTACAATCAAAGGTAACACTCTAACTTTTTTATTACATGTAATTTCGATTTTTGTATGATAGATCTAGGGTTTACAAGCTTTGGATGATTATTGCATGTACAATTAGAAAAATCTAGATCCAGAGCTTTAGGGTTTGTATGTGCACCATGTTGGGTTTTGAGCATTCTAACACTCTTATGGTGTACATGCAACCCTAAATACCTTGGATCTATGTTTTCTCTATTATACATGCAAATATGAATATTCCAAGGTATTACCCTAACTAGCTTACAATCTTTGATACTTGGGTAATAAAATAGATAGAATACATACCTTGTTGATGTAGCTTGAGTCCACTAAGCTTGAGATCCTAGTGCCTCAAGTGTGACACCGCAAATGGTTCACACAACATCACCAACACTTGGAATAACCATGAGAAGAAGATACTCATTCTCAAATCGGCTAGCCCTCATATATGTATCACTAATGCCAATTGTTTGAGCTAAAGGGGTCCTTATATAGTGTTCATATTAGGGTTACACCATGTAACCTATGACTTTACCCATTCCTTATTCTCCATGGGTTTTAACCTCCATGGAGTATCCATGGATCACCACATGGGTTAAACCGAACATAAGGAATCATGGATCATAAGCCCACATATATAAGAATGAATGATTTACACAATCAATCCCCATATACTTAATTAGTCTCTTTTGATCACTAAATTAAGTCCAAATTAATTCTTGATCAACACTAATTAAATAACATGATTTCATATTAATATATTATAACTTATAATATATTAATATATCACAAATTTCCTCTTCTCACAAACAGTCTATCTAAATGTTCCGATGCCATGCAACCCAAATGGACCATACCGAGTCGGGTTAAGTACATACAAATTATAGTTATGGACTTATACATTAATCCAACACACCATAGGATTGATGTTTTGCCCATAACCCAACAGTGGTATCAGAGCCTCAACTGCTTTTCTATTGTATTTGATGCATTGCTAATTTGTTCAAAGCTAAAAAGTCGAAAAATTGTGCATCTGATTGATGAACTCGATGAGTCCAATCAGTGACTCGGCGAGTCGGGTCCTCAGATGGATGATCTTTCGGGATTTTTACTGAAAATTGAATTAGGATAATTAAAAAAACGTTTTTTGGCTTATAAAATTCGATTTTTTTCAATATGGTATTGATTGTCCTAATGCAATTGAAAGATAATTGTCATAAATAAGATAATTACTTGTTTTATATGATAAAGATTGATTATTTGTATTTTGATTGAATTATCTTGTCAAGAAAATAGATTGAGTCAAATTATGTGATAAAGATTAATAGTACGGTTATTTAATTATTTTTCAAATTTGATCTAAAAGATATTTTGAAAAGTTTCAAAACTTTCCCTCAAGTTTTGGAATTTAAATTTAATTAAAAGTTTAATTTTGAAATATTTAAATTCCAAGCCCTAGAATTTTACAAGTTTAAAAGCTAGTCTTACCGTTAGTATGCCTCATTCATGAAGCTGGTCTATAAGGGATGTTTAAGGAAGCTACCTATAAAATGACTGCCATCGGATATCCATTCTTACCCACCAAAATCTTGACTAGTGGAGGGTCATTAGCCGAACAGGTAGGATAGGGCAACCAATTCCTCATTAATATGTATAATGATCTATCATGTAACTAACCCAATCACAAGCCAATTAGTCTAATGGTTAAGTTTCTACCTTAATTAGCATTTAATAAGGCAGCCATCACCCACTACCACCTCGGGTAGTGGTGGTCAATGGCGGTTCACGGCGGCCGCCATCACCCTACAGTGGAGGAGGTTATGGTATTAGGTCCAACAACATCACAAGCTTCTCACTCATTAGTCCAAACACATACAAAAGCCCACAACCACCCAAGGTAACCATTGGTGGCAGCATAATTGTGGTGTGAGGTGGCAGCTACCACCTAACAGTGGTGGTTGTGGGTTTTCCTTGGTTTTCTTGCCAAAAAATTGCTTCTACAATAACAAAATACCAAAAGCAACTTATATACTCGAACACACATACACTCTGCCACCTCCCATGCGGCTGACATCATTGGAAAATACGAAAACAATGACCAATGGCCACCGGCGGCAGAAAAAACGTACCTGACGCCGAACATGTAGATAGGAACGAAGGAGTTAGATGCAGTGCCTTACTGAGAACCTTCAGGTCAGGCATGACCCACACATCGATGACCAGAGTTGCGTTCGCCAGTCTCGGTGGCTCTTTTGGCTGCCCACGACGTCTAACAGCTAGGTTATGGAGGTGAAATTTCAATAACGAAGGTGGAAAGGGTGGCGGTCGGGCTCGGTGATGCAACCGGCGGATCAGGACACTCACCATGGTGATGGCTGATGAAAAGAGATTAGGTTTAGGGTTGCATCATCCAAAAATGAGAGGGAAGGGGTGCACTAGGTTCATGTCTTCTTTCCAAACTTAAGTCCCTTTTGACAAGTTCGGTCCCTCTCCTTAAGATCCTTTTCAAATTAACTCCTAATCTTACCAAACACTCACTGCCTTTAGAAATTTCTACAAAGTGACTCCGGAAATTACACTTAACCCCCAAAATTCCAAAAATTATGACATTTAACTCCCATGGCTAAAATCCATAAATTATTATGGATTTAAGGCTTTAATAAAATAATATAGAAATATGATTTACATCTCGGGGTTAGGGCTTATTGTTTATTTATTTATTTTATTTTATTTAATGAAATGTTGCAGAAAAAGTAGTGTTCTAGACTTCTTTTATGAATTATGGATTTTGCAGTTGTGATTTGAATACACACTTAGATTTTTAATTGAAATTTTTTGTTGAAATTTGGAGCGTTATAATATTTATAGACATTGTGTTTCGTTATCCATGTTCATTCATCGGTGGTCAAGAATTAACACGAGTTGGACTAACATGATTTATTACTTCTTTTCTTACATTGAAAAGATTTCAAGAGTTAAAACATTCAATGCGATAATTGTTTGCTTCTAATGATTGGGTCGAATCCACATTTTCTTCTATAGATGAAATGATTTAATTGAAAGTATTATTTTGGTTGTTGTTAAGGTTTGGAAGGCTATAAAATATTGCTTGAGTTATGTAGTTCCCGTTTTTAAGGTATTGAGACTTATGGATGGTGATGTGAAACCGGAAATGAGGTATTTATATGAAGTTAACCATCGTGCTAAAGAACAAATAAAAGAGAACTTCCATGGTGTCAGTCAAGATATAAAGAAATTTGGGAGAAGAGTGAACTTAGGTGGCATATGCAACATCATAGGCCACGTCATGTCGCATGATATTATCTTAATCCTAGGTATGTGTGTGTGTGTGTGTGTGTGTGTGTGTGTGTGTATATATATATATATATATATATATATATATATATATATATGGGCCAATCATTTTACTTATTTTAAGAAAGTGATTAATACATATTATTGAATTAAAAATAATCAAAAAATAACATTTAATTTAACTAGAAGGGTATTTTAGTCAATTAACATATATTTAATAAAGGAAGTTTGCATATTTTAAGTTATCATAGATTCTATTAATTTAAAAAATCTGATTTTACGAATTATAGGGTTTTTAATTCGGACATTCTGAAAGAATATGTTTGAATATATTCAAAAATAAAAAAATTCTTGAACCATAAAATAATAAAAATAATCTTGAACATATTTTTCTTGTAGAATAACAAATTCTCGAACCATCAGTTGCAGAGTTAAAATAAATTTTATATTAATTCTTATAGAATATGGGTAACAATTGCTAAGAATTATATTTATTGTTAAAGAATAAAACTAAAAAAAAGTTCAAATCGGGAAAAAAAACATCAAAATCTAACAAAGACACTAATACATTCTAAAAGAATAATGTTGCAAAGAATCACTTTCAATTTCATAGTCCATTCTTCAAGCATCAGTTGCTTCTATGGAAACAAAACTAATGCATAAATTAGTGAGAAAATATCCATATTCCATTCCAACAAAATTGGAATTCGTGATTCCATTCTTATAGAATTGGAATTCAAGATTCAGTTACGGTATGCATTCTGTTGAAAAAAATCCAAAGTAAAAAACAATGTGAGGCAAATGACTAATTCCAAGATTTAGTTACGGTATGCATTCTGTTGGAATTCAAGATTCACTTATAAGGGAACTCTCAGTTCACATCATAACTAATGCGAGGCAAATGAATAATTCCAACCTATGACAAATTACAGGAACCCTGTAGAACTAGTCCTTATTTCCCACTTATCACATAACACTCCAATTCCGATAAAAGTTAAAGTAATTGCATTGCCCTAGTTAGGAGCTAACACTTGAAAGGATCTCATTCCCATCGACATTGATCTTAGAACTTCTTCCTGTTCTTGTTGAGCGAGACACATCTCCTTTTCATTATGCCAAGTTCAATCGTAAAGGCCGACCCTCAACCTCCTGTTCATCAAATAGACCAGAAATGAATAAAACAAAGATTACAGAAGAAGAAAGATGCACAAATAATGGGAATTTTGAAGCTTTTACCAATCCATCCATAGCGTTAAGTGCATATTCTACAGCCTCGGGAGAGCTAAAAGTGACACACTCAAAACCTTGAGATTTCCCTGATTGTTTCTCGTAGATCACCCTTGCGCTTAAAAAACCAGGTTGTTCATCAAAAGTATCTTTGATCTTCTCAGAAGTTATGCTCCAGCTAAGGTTACCTGCATAGATCTTGTGAAGGATTTCGATAAAATCTTTGTTACTGCTTCTAATCTTTGGGCCCATCACCTCCCGTTCACCTCCGGGAAGTTTACCTTCACTGTTCGTCCACCGATTTGCTGAAAAATATTATCAAAATCAATAGTCGCAATCATGATTCTAAATTCAACCAATTTCTGGAGATGAAAATGGATTCAAACTCATTTGTAAGAATGGAAGAGACTGCTTACAAATCCGTTAAACATTCTAATGGCTTCTTTAGCTTCTTAATCACTTGCCATTGTAATAAATGCGAATCCCTGGCTCCTGTCTGTTACGCTATCATAAACAATCTGATCGAATGGAAACTAGGGTTACGAGAAACCGGAAATCTCCAAAATTATACAAAAATTCCAACAGTCACACACATTACCTCCACGGAAATTACATCGCCAGCTTCTCCAAATATTTGGGACAATTCTGCAGAAGTAATCGCATATGGCAAGTTTCCGATGTAAAGCCTCCCAACTTTTTCCCCAACCTCTTTGCGATTGATCTGCCACCACCGATGCCCTTCGATTTTGCCTTCATTCTTCACCTTACTCCTTTGAATTGGTCAAGAAGCAATGGAGGTGTTTCTGATTACTTGGGTCCAACAACACGCCGAGAACTAAATAAGTTGGCAACGTCGCCGTCACAGTCACCGGTGTAGCCGATTGGATGGTCGGCGTGAAGAAGTCTTCAACCGGTGATGAAAACTCATCCTGCAACGATTGATCAGATCAGTCGTATATAAAAGGGAGATTAGGTTAAAATCAACGTAACTAGCAAAATTATAGGGAGTATTTGCTGGAAGTTATTTCTCAAATTACCTAGTTAGCCTTATTGATTTATTTAATTATTGTTTTTTCTATTAAATTTTGATTGGTCCATAATCATGCATACAATAATACAATACTTAGTTAAAACACCTGAACCTATCTCTCTCTCTCTCTCTCTCTCTATATATATATATATATATATATATATATTACTAACATTTATTATTTACGACTAAACACTTACTTTTTTTTTTTATAAACTAGTCTTCATTTCAAGGAGAACTTTAACACCGATAAAGAAGTCAACTGTGGATTGTATGATGTCATTGAAAGGATGTATGATAGGCCAACAATTGTGAAAATTCATGAACAACTTGTAAAGTTGAATAAGAGCATCAAGATGTTTGGGATATCCGCAATCGTGCTAATGAGGAAAAAAATGCAACCTGATAACTTTTAGGAAAAATGTAATATGGTAAAATATATAATAATTACATTATTACCTATTACTCATTTGTTATATTAAATTGTAGTTAAATAGTGGTCAAGTTATGGAGATGAGTGCCCAAAAGTTCAACATCATGCAATTTGTGTCTTGAGCCTCGCATGTCGTGCCACGAGATCTGAGAGAAATTTGAGCACTTTTGACCATGTCCACTCCAAGAAGAACAACTATTTGGAGTAACAAAGGTTGAATGCATTGGTGTTTACGACCTACAACATCAACCTTGTGTAACATCCCCCTCTGGAACATATCACAATATTGTCCGTTTTTGGCCACTCGGCTTGAAGACTTCCCAGGGGGTCACCCATCCTAGTACTACTAATGCCCGAGCATGCTTAACTACAGAGTTCTTATGGGATCTGCTGACCTCACAAGTTTAAAACGTGTATCCACACCCCTTATAAGGAATTCTTAGTTCTCCTATCAGGTATAACCCACCTTATAAGGTGGGTTGCACCTGGTCCCACATCTGTTGGGAAGGAGAACAAAACATTTCCTTATAAGGGGTGTGCATACCTTCCCAGTCACAATGCATTTTTCTCAAAAATTTCTTTTAAATATTGGGTCATTACAAGTTGGTATAAGATGATGTGGCATGCACTCTCTCTTAGGCGAAGAGTGCCCACTTTATGCCGACCTTTGAGAGCATCTCCGCTGAGAAATTGGCGGATATTTATGTGCAAGAGGTGGTGGCTAGACACGGCGTGCCGGTGTTGCTTGTCTATGATAGAATTGTTCGATTTACATCTAGATTCTGGAAGAAGTTCCATGAGGAACTAGGCACCCAACTACATTTTAGCATGGCGTACCACCCCCAGACAGATGGCCAGAGTGAGAGGACGATCCAGACACTTAAGGATATGCTTCGGGCATGCGTGTTGGATTTTGGAGGAGTTGGGATACATACCTCCCACTAGTAGAGTTTTCATATAATAATAAATATCATGCTAGTATCAACCGACCACCGTTCGAGATGTTGTATGGTTGGAGGTGTAGGATCCCTATTTGTTAGGGTGAGGCCGGACACCGAGTCATAGGGAGCACTGAAGTGGTGCTCAAGACTACCGGGTTGATTCAGTAGGTGCGCGACCGACTACAAGTCACACAGAGTCGTCAGAAAAGCTATGCTAACCGGCGGTGATCATATATTGAGTTCCAGGTAGGGGACTTTGTGTTACTAAAAGTGTTGCCATGGAAGGGAGTCATCGGGTTTTGAAAGAGAGGCAAGTTAGGGCCATGATATATTGGCCCGTTCAGGATTTTGGCCTGAGTAGGCAAGGTGGCTTACCGCTTGGATTTTTCAGACGAGCTTAGCCAGATACACAACTCCTTCCATGTGTCTCAACTTCGGAAGTGTGTCACTGATGAGGCTGCGGTCTTTTCTCTGGACAACATTCAGGTGGAAAAGAGCCTGAACTACATTGAGAGGCCCGTTGCTATTTTGGACAGGAAGACCAAGGTCCCTCGAAACAAGGAGGTGAAGTTAGTAAAGGTCTAATGGCAACACCGAAGGGGCTCTGAATGGATATGGGAGCCGGAGGATGAAATGCGAGATCACTATCTGGACTTATTTGCATCAGTAGACTTCGAGGACGAAGTCTAGTTCAAGTGGGGGAGATATGTAACACCTGTTCCAGGTATCATTTAATTTTCTAAGTTTTAGGGTTTTGTGCTAGGACTCGAAGAGTTGGGGAGCTCCAACTCGTCGAGGAGAGAATCATTGATGAGGACGCGGGATTTTGATCCTACTTGATGAGTCAGAAGGCCCCAACTCGAACAGTAGGCGCTATAAAGGAAAACCCTAATTTTCAAGGGTTTGTACCCTATTTAAAGAACTTATGGCTCATTTGTAGCCTCTTTCATCGTTCTTACAGTCCAAAGAGAAACCCTGGCCACATTTTGTTGCTTTCTTGAGTGTGTGTTAGCTTTGGAGAGGAAATCTTGGGTTTTTTTGGAAGGAGACTTGAAACATTTCCTTATGAGAGGTGGGTTGTACCTGATCCCACATTGGCTGAGAAGGAGAACTAAGCATTCCTTATAAGGGGTGTGGATACCTTCCCTATCACAACGCGTTTTAAAGTTGTGAAAGCAACAAATCCCATAAGAACTTTGCAGTTAAGTGTGCTAGGGCGGAAGTAATACCAGGATGGGTAACCCCTAGGAAGTCCTCATGCCGAGTGGCCAAACGCGGACAATATTGTGATACGTGTTAGATGGGGATGTTACACCTTGATACAAGACTCCAAAAGAGAAATGAAAGAGGGGAGACCTATGATCCAATATATTTTTCTAGCATGGAGTCGGATGATGAATGGATTACTGAAAAGGAGGATTTATGTCTCTCCGAAGATATCTCATTAATGGATATTCATGAATGTTTTAAAGATCATGAAGGAACTAGTACTAATAAAAGGAAAATAGGTAAATTATACGAAGGGGTGATTATACAAAGTGCCTAACGTTAAAGACAAAGGCAAAATCCGACTTGTTGACTTTGATGATGATGAGGAGGGGGAGGGAGATGATATTGGTTCCCATGATACAACAATGGTTGAAGATGAAGATCGCGATGATCCAATATGTTTGTCTGGCATGATACACGTATGATCCAATATGTTTGTTTGGCATGGAGTCGGATGATGAATGGGTTACCGAAAAGGAGGATGTATGTCTCCCCGAATATATCTCATGAATGGATATTCATGAATGTTTTAAAGATGATGAAGGAACTTGTACTAATAAAAGGAAAAAAGGTAAATTATTCGAAGGGGTGATTGTATATTATAATATTAAAAAGAATCAAGTTTAATAAATACAAGCTTTACTTATTTGTAGGGCCAAGGAACCTTAACAAAGTGTCTAACGTTAAAGACAAAGGCAAAAGCCGACTTGTTGAATTAGATGAGGAGGATGAGGACGAGGGAGATGCTATTGGTTCCCATGATACAAAAATGGTTGAAGATGAAGATGACGATGATCACTTTATCCTTGAAGTTTAATTTTATGATTCAAACACACTCCGTCGTTTTGTCATTTGATTTGTTACTAAATCACTGGTTATATTTTGATACTTTATGACATGTATGGCCCATAACTATTGAATTTGCAACATATTAGTAAATATGCTTAAATATTCGGCTTACTTTTTGTTTAAACATGATGTTATATATATATATATATATATATATATATATATATATATATATATATATATATATATATATATATATATATATATATAATTTTTAGTGTCATGACTCTTCCGAATCAAATCATGAGTTAAAATTTAGGATTTCGAGTCACGAGTTGATAACTATGACAGTAGGAATGAAACAACCGTTTCAGATTGAAATCGGTAATTTCATCACATTATACCATACCCTCGGTTGCGATGAATGTGAAAGGTGTCCATACATGGTATCTATTATCCATACTCTCCCTCTCTCTTTTTTTTCTTCCTCTTCTCTATTCTCAACGATTAGAAAAACTAATATATAATTCTTAAAAATATTTACCATTCTATAAATGCAAACCATTTTTGACCTTTAATCTCACACCATTTTAAAAAATTCAACCATCCTATAATTACCAACCATTTAAAAAAAAAAAAGTAAAAAACATTTAACCATTCTATAGGGAATGCTATGGCTAAAACAATATTGATGTGTTATCAAGAACAATCGTATTTGGATTTGTTCATCTAGGATCCAGAAGAAAATTCAACATGATGTAGTTTTTATTTTCAAGTAATGAAATACTTT